CAAATCCCCGTCCCTATTCCCTATCAGCTAACCATTTCTGAAGCGGCTAACGAAAAGTTGTTTGAACGGTGCCTCAAAAACAGGCGCCGATTCGAGGAAAGTCGAAAGGGCAAAAAGCCGGTCCTACAGGACCTACCCACAAACGAGGAGTCGCAGCCCTCGACCTCAAAGGTGCACGAAGCCGACCGGATAGGAATGATCCAGACTGTAGACTCTGCCTCGGAAAAACCCGAGGTATTCCTCTGAGCCTATCCTATAACCTGGAAAAGTGTTGAGTGTGACTGCGAGGTCAGGGGAAACCCCTCGGCCGCCATCCTAGACTCGGGATCGTCAGCCGTCGCCATTTCTTGGAGATTGACGAAACAGTTGGGAAGGGAAGGACAAGTTCAGCCCCTCCGACCAGATGAGCTGTATATATCCGCTACGAAAGACAGTATTCATTGTAAAGGGCTAATAACGAACGTGTCTGTACAGGTGGGGCGGGTGCATTGTTTGTGTGACGTGATCGTGATGGATGTACAGGCGTATGATGTTCTGCTAGGCATTCCGTGGCAGGCGGCGGTCGAAGCACGAATGCACTTTGACAGTTGTAAGGTGGTGCTCACATCAGCCCACCCCAAACGCCAAACGATACCAATGAGACTGGCGGTGCGCATGCGTACCCAACCGGCGCCTCACCTCACCACGAAAGCCCATCAAATCAACATGATCCGACGCCTGTCACCAGACGAAAATGAACCTTCGACGTAAACTGACAAGACTGATGTACCCGACCGATATCCGATCCGAGTTCAGGATCGGTGGCGCCATTCTTGGCAGCGAGAACCACTAGAAATATTTCGGAGTGAGTCCAATTGGTCGCACGCGTTCTCCCCTGTGGTGGAGGGGGAACCCCTGCTGAGGGTATCCCGAATAGCTGACCTTTCGGAACCCCCTGCGTCCTTGTATCTTAGGACGGACCCCCTACCTGAAAGATTTACCGAGCTGAGGGGGCTGTGCGATTTATCTTTTCGACCCCCACGGCCCCTACTCACGAATGAAAAAGCCGCGATTCTCCTGAAAGAGGGGGTGTCGTTTCAACCTCGAACAAGGGAGTATCGGTGGGGACCGAGGGAACTGGTGCAGGCCTTTTCGGTCGAACCGTCGGCCGAACCCGAACTGGATAGTGACGGTGACATGGAAAGCGAGCCGATGAGTCCGGCGGACAGTCAACTCATTGCGACTGTCCTTTCGGCGAAAACCGACAACTCCTTGTTTGGGGCCTCGCCCGATGCCAGCGCGGCGGTCCCCACGGTTACGACGACGGTCTCCCTTCCTGGGGGAACCGTGGAAGTTCATTTACCAACCCGTGTTCCGGATGAATACAGACGCCTCCTCCTGGCGGTTATATGGGCCTATCCTGAGGCCGTCAATATTCAGGACCACGACATAGGGCTAACCCCTTTGATACAGCATGCGATTGATACCGGGTATCACGTCCCGATACATTGCCGACCGTACTGATATTCCCTTAAAGAAAGACAACTGGCTCTGGAAAGGGTACGAGAATTCAAGCGGTTGGGGTGGGTCGAACCATCGCCGGGACCGTGGTCTTTTCCCGTGGTCCTCGTGCCAAAACGAAATGGTTCGGTCCGGGTATGTATCGACTACCGGAAATTGAACGCCATTATTTCCAAAGATGTATATCCCTTGCCGCGAATCGATGATTTGTTAGATGCTATCGGGGCCGCTCGAGTCTTTTCCAAGTTCGATATCCAACACGGTTTTCACCACGTCGCAGTCCGACCGGAGGACTGACCCAAAACCGCTTTTGTCCTATTTGAGGGCACGTGGCAATGGGTCCGGTGTCCCATGGGAATTTGTAACGCCCCTGCAAAGTTTCAGCGGGCCAGGAATATGGCCTTCGCTGAGTTCGTTAACAAAACCCGACTAACCCAGCCCCTGGTCAATTTCTGCGTGATTGTGTACATGGATGATGTTTTGGTCTTTTCAAAAACACGCGAGTACCACGTGGAACACATTGAGTGGGTTTTGCATGCACTGAAAGATGCGGGGTTCAAAGTGGCCTTGGAGAAAAGCGAGTTCTTCTTGCCGGAGATCTCATTCTTGGGGTACATCGTCACGGTCGATGGACTAAAACCGGATCCGAGGAAGGTGGCAGCAGTTCAAGACGCCCCGGCGCCGGTCACACTCACCCAGGTTCGGGCTTTTCTAGGGCTGGCATCCTATTACCGACGCTTCATCAAGGGGTTCGCCGGCATAGCGAAGCCCCTGATGAACCTGTTGAAGAAAGAGGAACAGCTGATCTGGACGTCAGAATGCGAAGCGGCGTTTCAGACGTTGAAGGAGGCTTTGACATCTGCTCCTGTGTTGGCGGGCCCCGACCCGACAAGACCGTTCGCACTCTACACAGACTGGCAGCCTCAGGCGATATCAGTGATGCTAACTCAGCACGGCAAGGACAGAAGGGAGCACGTCATTGAGTATGCGTCAAAGACGCTGAGCCAGGCGCAGGCTAATTAAGAAGCATGCAAAGGCGAATGTCTGGCGGTGGTGTGGGGGATTCAGCACTTCCGACAATATCTGTACGGCCAGAAATTCGTGGTGGTAACGGATCATCAGCCGCTGCTGTGCCTACGCAACAACACGGACTACACGGGGACGCTGGGCTGGTCGGCGGTGCGTCTGCAAGACTATGACTTCGACATCCGCCACCGTGCCACGCGGCAGCATGGTAACGCCGATGGATTAACGCGCCTTCTGCCGCCCAACAAGTGTCCCACCAACGAGCGACTCATTCCGTGGAGGCCAGAAGTCGCGGCGATGAAACCGCACTACAGAGGAGCTACATGTGCTGCCTAAGGACGACGCCTGAGTCAGGAATGGAGGTTTCATCGGAGATGGCCGACGCTATCTCTCTGCCCTCATCCAACTCCCTTGCTCTCTCGTCTAGCCCCAACTCGTCCTCTGAAACACATCTAAGTCCCTGTTTCTTCTGTATCTTGCCTATGATCCCGGACCAAGAAGGGTCACATCCGGGAGGGCCCAATTTTTTTTTATGGGTACAGTGTAGTCAGTGTCATACGGTCAAATCTCACAAACAGTGCGTTCGGTACCGAAGTGAAAAGACGTGGGTCTGTCCCAACTGTAGAACGGACCAAGTCCCTACCGAGAAGCGGTATCTGGACGCTAGAACAACCGACGGATTTGCGTCAAGTGCCCGCCCGACAGAAGCCTGGATGGACCTCCTGTTGCTACGAAGACTGTCAGGCGACTCGCTATCTGAACTTACCAAAGCCGAACGGCGGAGAGTCACGGAGCGGGTGCAAGACTATCGCTGCCAGGGCCCGACGTTACAAAAACGGAAGGTCGATGACGACGGAGAGTCTAGCTGGTTGACGGTTCCATACCCTCTTGCTAGGTTCGATTGGACACGAGCCGCTCATGAGGAGGATGCGGTCCATTTCGCGATCAAGTACACGGAAAAAGCCATCGAGAAGAACGGATGGTACTCGTCGGGAATTCGGGAAGATGTGAAATACATCGTTCAGAATTGCCCGGCCTGCGCGGCGGACAAGGCGCCGGTACAGATGCCTCGGACGATGGTGCCCACTTGTGTAGAGCGCCCCTTTCAGAGGGTTAGCATCGATACGACGAATATCAATGTTCCGAGAGGGCCCGTCAATCAAGGAGAACTCAATGTTCTTTTAGTGGCCGTCGATCATTTTTCAAAATGGATCGAGGCGTACCCTATGACCAGTCGGAATTCGCAGGAAGTAGCTTGGTACGTAAATCGGTTTTTGTGCATGCATCTAGACGTAGAAGAGGTACACATGAACAATGGGTCAGAATTTCAAGGCGAAGTAGAACGTCACCTAGTCAGGGCGGACGTTAAAATTATCTACTCGTCGGGGCATTGGCCTCAAGCCAAAGGCCTGGTAGAGAATGCCAACCGACTGATTAAGACGGACCTTAGACGAAATATCACTGCGGGAGACACCCGACCCTGGCCTGTGATTGTCGACCACATTTTGGCCGTTTATCGAGCTACCCCACACAGTAGTATTGGGGTGCCCCCCTTTCAACTGAGAACCAATAGTGTCCCTCGGGTGCAATTGTCCCCCTTAGTAGGTACGGAAGTTAGAGCAACACGGGCCCAGAATCGAGACAAGGCCCGCCACTACATGGACTTAATGGCTAGGGCCTATCCCCCGTTAGCTCGCCGTCGATAGCAGGCCGTAGATCGGACACATCAACGGCAGATCCGTGACTACGAGAATCGACACGCGTTAGCGGGACCACTGCCCCCCTATAAAGTTGGGGACTTGGTGTAGGTTACGGAAATTTGCGCGCTCCTCCAAGATCCACCCGCGCTATACAGGCATTTACGAAGTCACGGAAGTTGGCGCACAGGGACAGCACTCCGTGAAGCTGATTCCCCGTCACAACTCCCAGGCCCGACCGCTGACACGGCACGCGACCGCGCTCTGGCCTTTCCAGCCATCGCTAGGTCCCCTACGGACCCACGCTCCTGCGAGATCACCCTCTCCTTCTTCATCCTCATCCTCCTCCTCCTCCCGATCTGCCTCGTCCATTGGTGCTGAGAGTTTCAGGGAGCAGGATGAACCATCGCCAACCAGAGCATGAGCCTTTCAAGCATTTCCAGATGCCGCTTGCAGATCGCCTGTTGAGGCATCGGTTCAATGAGGAGAGGCAGTTGCGGTACGACGTTCAGCAGGTGAACGTGCCGGCGCCCGGGGTTGCGGATTTAGCGGCGTACTCGTTGCTTTGCGATCGGCTGACGTATGCGGGGGTGTACGTGGACGTGACGCAGTTGCCTGGCCGGGAGACGACCCGAGTATTCATTGAGTTCCGCGCGCTCCAGGTGGCACCCAAGTTCGTGCACAGCGTCGCCACCTTCATCGGAGACTTGACGATCCTACCGCAACCGAATCGGGAGCCGGTGCACAGCTTTGTGCGCGAATACGCGGTGGAAGCGGCCAGATGAGTGGCCAGATTGCAAGGACGGGGGGGACACCGATTCACAGGCCACGAGGTGCTGCTGCGTAGGGCAGAGGACGGACCAATTGCATTGGTGCCGCAGCTCCCTGCGCTTCTCCCTCCCGCTGCTCCTCTCAACTTCCTAGCTATTCCCCCTGTCCCGTACTAAATGCCTCCCTTCTTCTCCTACACCACCCTCCCCTACCAGCTCACGGAGGACCCTTATCCCATGCGGAAGTTCTCGGAGTATTTAGTGGAGCTAACTGACGTGGAGCCGCTGCCTTTCGCCGACGAAGACGCGTGGGAGTTGCACCGGGCGCTGTACAAGTCGGTGACGTTGGAGATGTTCCGGTTCTTCGTGGAGCACGAAGACCACTGCACCAGGGAGCACTTTGTCGTCTACTACGTCATCACGCGGCCCAAGCCAGCGGAGAAGGAAGGGACGGTCGCGCTGTACCCATTCGCCCAGCTCCAGACGATCGATCCGGGATTGTTGGAGCTCATACACCTTGAGCTCCTCTCCATTGCGCAGGTGATCGTGAGCGAGGAGGAGGAGATCCAATCGCGGTTGCGGACGGCGACGGCCCCACGGAGAACGTACAACGCGGTCGTCATCCCGGATTACATTGCGCAGGGCACGGAGAGATTGGAGGACTTCCCGGAGGAAAGGCCGTTGCGGCCTCCATCGTCGTATCCCCGACCGGCGCCACCGAAGGCCGCCAAGAAGACGCCGAAGAGGAAGAGGCGCCACCCATCGCCAGGGGCGCAAGGCAGCAGGATCGGCGGCGGCGAGGAGGTGATTCAGACCCCCCGTCCTCGCAGGACCTCTTTGTTCCCGCCAGCCACCCCGGGGTGCCCCGGTCATTGACATTAGTAGTTCATTTGAGCCGGACGGTCCATCCGACCAAGGTGGACTTCATGGTGGAGCCCGCCACCATCAGGCTCGAGGCCATAGCGGGGGCACCGCGCCCTGATCCGGCGTGGGAGCCATATCTGACACCCCCTTTTCAAGGGTGTATTGCGGCGCGATTGGCTGGGACACTCATCTACGAGACCGGGCAGCATCTCAATGCGATGTACCACTTCCTGGTCTTCGCGGTGCAGAAGCGGGAGCGGCGGCCTTACACCGAGACTCATGTGGTGATGACAGGTCCGGGGCCCCGATCGGTGCGCAAGCAGGTGGTGCGAGCAGTGGCGGATCTGGCGCCATGTGTCCTATCCCATGTGCCAGGAGCCTTCCTCTACCCCTCGTTCGTCCAGCATCACTTCCATGAGGAGGGAGCGTCGGCGACTTCCGCGGCAATGGCCGCTTTTCTTCCACCTATTCCGCCCCCTCTCAATCCCGACATAGATCACTTCCTCTGATCACCCYYGTCTACCTCTCCCCTGTTCTCTCCTTCTCCTTCTCTTCATCTTCTTCTTCTTCTCCTATCTCCAAAGTTCGCGCGTCGAGACGCACTGTATATATAATAGCACTGTATATATTTAAAAAAAAAAAAAAAAAAAATTTTACTGATCGGGCCAGCTGACGATGAAGGGGCCGCCCGATCGGATGTATACTATGGGAGGAGGCGATGGAGGATGCAGGATGCATCCACGTAGATGAGGAAGATGATCGGGCCAGCTGACGATGAAGAGGCCGCCCGATCATCCAAGATATGATGACATCAGCAGTCGGGAGACTGCTAATTTTTCGGAACCCCCTGCGTATCACAGATGTGATAAGCTCAGATCCGTACCGCGCGGCTTGCCGTATCCCTGAGGAAAAATCCCGCGGAAGTCCCGAAGTACGGACGTGGATAGAAAGGGGTTTTCTTTCTTTTTGCTTTTGTTTTCTTTTTGAAACGGCTTTTTTATTTTGTTTGGTTAATAACTTCCGCGGGCGAATAGCGGCCGCGGTATGAAAACCAAGAAACGGGTGCGGTTGGCACTTTTAAATTTTTGCGCGCGCGCCCCCGAGCTTCGATTTCTTCACGCGTCTCGCATCCCCGTTTCTTGCTTTGCATCCTCGCGCCATCTTCCCTCCTTGCTGCACGCATTTTCCCCATGCCCGACTCTTCATCTTCCCCTCCGCCCAACTTGATCCTTACCCCGCGAAGTGATTGGCCGCGTAGTTGGGATGCTCGGATCAATGTGGAGAGCGGGAAACSGCGCGCCACTTGAACGGACACCCCAATCACGTAGGACCATGCCATCCCGCGGGTCGAACCCTCTAACTCCCCACCTTCCTCCTGTCCTGCTCATCTACAACCTGCRCTGCCCGCACCTCGCRCTGACAACCYGYCGCYTCCCGCGCTATAAATTTGTGCAACCCTCTCCTCTCTCTCTCTTTGATCTCGGCTGCAATGCTGYGCGAGCTATRMGCGAGAGTCCACRGCRCCGAACAGGCTCGACGAGCCCAAGGACGGGBGGAGTGACGACGTGGGGTGGACCCGYGATAGTCTCGGGGYGAAGCAGTCGRAGGGACTGAGCAGYRGTGGGGATTGGACGCCGGCTGYAGCAGGSCCTTGTGGCTATGGTGRTCGGTGGTCTTGGGGAGTTTTGAAGGCTGCGCCTGGGGGCGGCAGCTAATTGAAATTTTTGTGTACAAGAAGGACTCGCTTTTATCTCCATTGCTGCTTTGTCTATGCATGTCGTGTGTGTGAAGCCCCGAGTGATGGGAGCTGGTTTTGCACATGAGTGATGTCAAAGGTCCATGGAGGATTAGATGTCCTGTCACAGGTTGTTGATTGCATGCATGTATGTATGTATGTACTCGTCCGAGTGGGGATGGGGAAACTAAACTGGGGGACTGTCTGCTTAGGAGTACGAGTGTGTTGATCCGGTTGTTCCCCTCCCCTCCTCGGCCTTCCCCGCGCTCGCGCGCGGTTTCGGCGTAACTCACACTCTCTCTCTCGCTCGCTCGCTCGCTCTCGCTCGCCTTCGTTTTTGAACTGATAGTCATCGCTCTTGGAGCTTCTTCTCCCCGTACCGGTGACGTCAACCGCCTGCGTCCGCGCGGACGGTCGACGCCCCCGCAAGGGGAGAAAGCTTAAAGTTCATCATCTTCCCTCGACGCACCCACTTTTGAGAGAGAAGAATTGCGTCCATTGTTGTATGGATTTAGTGTGGGTTCGGATGACCGGGAACGCGGGATCTTGCCCGTGTTCATCGCGTACCTCCGACCATCTCATCTCGCTACCGACCTTCCCCATCACAGATGACGACAGCGTCTACTGCGATGCGGACATACGACGCGCGCTGAGGCGGACGGAGCAAGTGTGTTGGCAAGATCCGCCTCGGGCGTCTGATATAAGGGGGAACGGGTTTGTCCTGATTGATCGTTTTGATTCCCCGACTCTAATATTGCCTTACACGGGTTTAACGGTGTTGCCCTGGTCGGCCGCTCACGCCGCGTGGCGGCCGCAGTTTGATTGTCGCTGGTGTCGCCAGGGGGACTCGTGTTCTTGGCGACGGCTGGTCCTGGGTTACGAGGGAGCGACACGTTTCCGCGGCGACAGTTTGACTCCGGGGAAAACCTCTGGCACGAAACGAGGGCCTCCCGTTCCGTCCGGGAGACTCAACCCTTACGGCCAAAAATCCTCGGCCACGCCCCTCCTAAAACTCTGATCGGCGATCCCGTACGGGACACCGCGAGGGGGCGTGAGGTTGCGTATCACAAGCCCTCTTCCTGGGGAGGGAGTGGGTACAGTATGTGCATAAAGGAGACACTACCCCTTTCTCTTCTTTTTTGTATTTTAATTTCACAGGAGTCACAAAAACGAGTTACAATTGCACTATGAGACAATACACAGTATGCAATTATTCCATTTTGGTCACCCTACCTGGCCAGAAAGCTGGGTTGTATACGTTGCCCGAACTGCAGTTGCAAACTGTATCTTGGCCCATACTGCAATTATAACTCATTTCTGTGACCCCGGCAGAGTTTCCCAGCCTGTTGTAGCCTGTAGAGGCTGGATCTCAGACAGAGGCGGGATCTCAGACAGAGGATGGACTTGTTGTTTGCTAGTCCGGTGTAGGCAGGCATCTGTGAATAATCTGCCACTGAAGGGCTCCATGGTTAGTTGGTTTGATCCGTGCATAGGACCATTTGAGGTCTTGAAGGTCATGTCTTGTTCGGGGGGAGTCCCTTTCGGAATCCCATCTCCTGATGATGCTCTCCATGACCGGGACAAATTTACGCCCTCTCCTGTACCCTTTTTGAACTCTGTACTGCCAAAAGGACATGGAGAGTGAGTTCCGCCCTGTCCATCCCAATTCGGTTGGGTCAAATGGTAGAAGGAGGACCGGGGTGAATTGTTCATAGAGGAAAAGGCCTTCTTTTGGGTCGTCCACCACCTTCATGCTGACGAGACAGGGGAGTGGGCAGTCCATGTCCAGATCCTCGTCGCTTCCATTGACTCTCTCATTTACTTGTTTCCTTCCAGCCATCTACTGACAATCCTGTCACTCACTCCAGCCGCTACCCTAACTCACATTTGAAAATGATCGTTCCATTGACATATTAGGAAATTGTCGACATCTGCTCCACTCATCTGACATTGAAGTAGGAAGTTAGTACCTGCTTTGTTTAAGCCTGTGTTCACAACTACCGTCTTCCCCCAAACATAACGCACCCTAAAAATGAATGTATACAAGCTACATTTCGGGCCAGATACAGCCAAAATAAGGGTGCGTTGTGTTCGGGGGAAGACCGTAGCTTTTGTTTCCCCATCCAAGGATGGTTCATGCCGCTGCCGCTCGCGTTGTGTGCTCGTGCTGCGTGGCTGTGTGCTCGTACCACATGGCTTGCAGGTCACAGAGTGACAGTGTGCTAGTACGATGGCTGTGTGCCCGCACAGCTGGCTGCATGAAAGTGCGATGGACGGGGTGCTGGCGCCGCAGTGGCGCGCTAGCTGGTTGAACGCTTGCTGGGCTGGCTGCGTGCGACGGCTAGAGAGCTTGTGTGCTGGCTGGCTGAGTGCTCGTGCGACGGCTAGAGAGCTTGTGTGCTGGCTGGCTGCGTGCTCACGCGATACTAGCTAGAGTGCATGCACACTGTGTGGCTGTGACCTCGAGAGGTGGCTAGAGCGAGAGAGCTGGCGGCGGAGATTAAAGGTGTTCGGGGGAATAGGGGGATACGGTGGTTCTCTTTTATCACTGCAGCGGGGGATATGGTGGTTCTCTTTTATCACTGCAGCGCTTAGCGTACGCTTGGTGACCGGAGGCACTTGATTGCACCACGTCATAGGCTGCTGTGGCATACGGTCTGGCTCGCGGATAGTCCGTGAGTCCCACATTAATTTTAGAGGTAACTACGGCGCAGTCACGAAAGCAGTTTGTAATTGCATTTCAAACTGCGTTTTAGCACTTTAGTCAGGGCCCGAGTTTCAAATGCATTTGAAACTCGGGCTGGCCTTTTTAGCAGTTCAGTCAGGCATGTGGCCCGTTTCCTCCTCCCCCGCCCCCATCCCCCCCTTCAAGCGTGGCCGAGACATCTTGGCCATGGCCCCGCCACGTGACGGGGAGGGGGTGGGAAAAAAAAAGAAAAGAAAAAGGGGAAAAAAACGAAAAAAAAAACGAAAAAAAAAAAACAGAAAAAAACGAAGAAAAAAGAAAAAAGGAAAAAAAGAAAAAAAAGAAAAAAAGAAAAAAAGGAAAAAGAAAATAAAGGGGCCAGGTGCCTGACTGAACTGCTAAAAAGGGTCAGCCCCAGTTTCAACTGATTTTGAAACTCGGACCCTGACTAAACTGCCAAAACCCTGACTGCGCCGTTGTTTTCTCTTAATTTTAGTCTCCATTGCCGCAACTGTGTATCCACACGTTGCCTTGGAGGTGTTGGCTTTGTCCATGCCTGTGGAGTAGGGTGGAGTTAGCCCTTGCCAATGGAAACCAAAGCGCGAGGATTA